GATTTCAAAGTCAGGCTGGGCTTCGTTGTGAGTTCAAAACAAGCATGAACTGCTATACATAGTGAGGCCCTGTCTCAACAAAACAAAACAAAAAATTGTCAAAAGCTATCTGTTGGATGAATTAGGCACCAATTCCCAAGGAGGTCATTAGGATTCATTTATGCTTTTTTTGAGATAGGGTCTCATTATGCAGCCTGGGCTGGCCTTGAACTCACAATGACCCTCCTGTCTCAGCCTTCCAAGTGCTGAGATTATGGGCTTGCATGACCATGCCTGGCTTTTTGTTTTGTTTTGTTTTGAGACAGTCTTGCGATGTAGATCAGGCTGCCCTTGGACTCATTATGTAGCCCAGGCTGTTCTCAAACTGACGGCAACCCTCCTGCCTCAGCCTCCTGACTACTGAGATTACAGTTGTGTGTGCCACCATGCCCAACCACCTTTTTGTTACTAGAATGACTTTAGGATTGTTGCAGATGGGGTATGTATAGGAAAAAAACACCAAATTTAATCATCCAGTGAAGAGATCATTCGGATCTAGGTTTTGTTTGTTGTTGTCAGTTTTTTGTGCTTTTTGTTTGTTTTTGGTCTTTTTAAGACAGGGTCTTGCTCTGCAGTTCAGGCTGGCCTTGAGCTCACTTTGTAACCCAGGCTGGTCTCGAACTTGCAATAATGGATCTAGTTAAGAGGGGAAGGAACCTGGGTGGAAGTTGTCAGAATACAAGTCCCAGAGAACCAGGTAAGGAATTGAGCTGGAAGTCCCTGGGAGAAGCCTGCTCACATAGCATCTACCAGTATGTACAGCCAGGAATGGTGGTGCATGCCTGTAATCTCAGCACTTGGGAGGCTGAAGCAGGGGGATTGCTGTAAATTCAAGACCAGTCCTGGCTACATAGCAAGACCTTGTCTCAAAAAAATTTTTTTAATTAAATAAAAACAACTAAACAACAACAACAACAAAAAGTTTTTGTTTTTGAAATCACTTAAGAAGAGAGCATAGAGTGAGAGAAAAAGTGGGTCAGGATCAGGATGAGGCCAAGTAGAGAATCAGGAGTTTTCAAAGGAAATTTAGAGCACAGAGAGAAAAGGAAATCCAAAAGAACACAATGTCACAGAAGCCAAAGGAAGTTGCAGTAATATCCAGTGTGGCTATAAGATTAGGTAAGATGATAATTTTAAAATAGTCACGATAGTCAGCGTGGTGGCACACACCTGTAATCCCAGCACTTGGTAGGCTGAGATAGGAGGATTGCCTCCAGTTCCAGACCAGCCTGGGCTAAGTGAATTCAAGACCAGTCTGAACTACATAGTGAGAACCTGTCTCAAAAAAACAAAAGAAAAAGAAAGTCATTATATTTTACTGTGATATAAGTCACTGGGAACCTTACTTGAGTGGACAGAGTGGATAATGATGATGTGATCGCATGCTGGACTTTTCTTTGAGAAATGTAGGTCTGGTGAGTAAGAGAAAGACAGGACTAGAAAGAGGTTTTTGTTGTTTTTAATATGGGGTCTTGCTGTGCAACATAAGCTGACCTCAACTTGTAATCCTCCTGCCTCAGCCTCCAGAGTGCTGGCATTACAGGTGTATACCACCCTGCCCGGTTTGAAAGAAATTTTTGTTTTTTGTTATTTGTTTTTTCCGGTACCAGGAATAGAACTCACGACCTTGCACTTGCCAGGCAGGCACTGTGCCCCTGAGCTAAATCCCCAGCTCCTTGAAAGAGATTTTTTAAAAATCAATCAATCTATCTATCTATCTATCTATCTATCTATCTATCTATCTTCTATCATCTAACATCTATCTATGTATCTGGGATCCTGAGGATTGAACCCAGAGCATTTGTACTGAGCTACATCCTCAGCCCTTTTAAATTTTGAGACAAAAATCGCTAAATTGCCCAGCCTTGGCTTGAACTTGTGATGCAGCTGCCCAAGCCTCCAGAGTGCTGCAATGAAAGGCATGTGCCACCCACTTGAAAATGGATATTTTAATTTGAGAGAAACTGGGAACCTTTTAATGTTTTGTTTTGGTTTTTACCTTTTAATATTACAGGAGCCACATTTCACATTAGGTGGTCTCTAAGGGTCCCAGTCTATCACTCTAAAGCTACAATGTGGGAGTAGGACAGAGTGAAAGGGGTCTTTAGCACAGCTGAGTAATAGTGTTAAAAAGAAAAAGAAACGGAAGCTCGGCATGGTGGCACTTGCCTGTAATCCCAGCACTCAGGGAGACTGAAGCTGGAGGATTGCAGATTTGAGCCCAGCCTAAACAATTTAGTGATAGCAATTTAGCAAGACCCTGTCTCAAAACAATTTTTTAAAAAAGGGTGTAGGAATGGAGTTCAGTGCAAAGGCCCTGGGTTCAACCCCTAGTACCACTCTCCCAAATTAAAAGAAAGAGGCAAGAGTAAAGTCTTTTCCAGGTTTTTGGCTTGAGAACTTTTTTTTGTGTGTGTGATAGGGTCTCACTATATAGTGCAGGCTGGGTTTGAACTCACTATGTAGCCCAGGATGACCTCACACTCAAAGCAATTCTCTTGTGTCAGCCTCCCAAGTGCTAGGATTACAGTGTGTGCCACCACAGCTGGCCCTTAGCTTGAAAACTTGGGTAGTTGCCAGTGACATTCACTTTCTTAGAAAATGTCAGAGAAAAAGACACTCAATTTTTGGATATGGTAACTTTCTTAAAATTAAAAAAAAAGTATTAGTACATGTTCCGAATACATAATAACTACATTCCCTTGTGTGGAGTTGGTATACATGTACATAACACATCTTTTTTTTTTTTCTTTTTGAGACAGGGTCTCGCTGTGCAGTTCAGGCTGGCCTTGAGCTCACTTTGTAGCCCAGGCTGGTCTTGAACCCACAACGATCCTCCTTTTTACCTTTCCCCCTCTCTCTCCCTTTAGGGTCTCACTATGCAGTTTAGGGTGGTCTTGAACTCACTATGTAGCCCAGGCTGGCCTCAAACTCACAGCAATCCCCTTGCCTCAGCCTTCTTAGTGCTGGGATTAGAGGTGTGTGCCACCACATTGGGCCTCCTTCCATCTCCATCCTATTATGGTATCTTTTATGTTGCTCTTTATATTTTTGGTTTCTCGTAGAAGGGAAATCATGTGGACTTCATGTGTCTGATTTATTTCACTTAACATTATGGTTTTACGGTGCATCCTTTTTCCTACAAATGACTCAAACTTAATCCTTTTTATGGTTGAGTGGTACTCCATGTGTATAACTAGATTTTCTTTATCCATTCACCTGTTGAACATATAGGCCACTTCCAAGAGTTAACTATTATGAGTTATGCTGCTATAAACATGGGTATGCATCACTGTAATATGGTGTCTTTAACTCTTTTGGAAAGATACTTGGAAGGGCAATAGTTGGGTCAAAAGAAATTTCTCGTTTCAGCTTTTTGAGGAATTTCCATACTAACTGCCTTTTTAAATTTTTTTTGCTTTTTTTGAGACAGGATCTCGTTATACAGGGTCTCAGGCTGACTTTGTAGCCCAGAGTGGCCTCGAAACTCGCAATGGTTTCGAGTTGCCTCTTGCCTCAGCCTCCCAAGTGCTGGGATTACAGGCGTGGCTACCACGCCCGGCTCTAATTTCCATAGTGGCTGTAGTAGTTTACACTCCCAGTAACATTGCAGAAATGTTCCTTCCCCCTCCCTTCTGCTGTCTCACCGGATAGCTTAACTTAAAAAAAAAAAAACAACAAAAAAACTTGTTTATTAGTAAAAAACATAGGGGCCGGGGATATAGCTCAGTGGCATAAGCGCCTGCCTGGCAAACACAAGGTCCTGAGTTCGATTTCCGCTACCAAAAAACAAAACAAAACAAAAAGAATTATCTTAGGGCCAGGGATATAGCTCAGTGGCCTAAGCGCCTGCCTGACAAGGGTAAGGTCCTGAGTTTGATTCCCGGCACAAAAAAAAAAAAAAAAACCAAAACTTTTTTGCTGTACATAACGATGGCATTCATTATGAGAAGGTGGCATATCTTTTTTTAACTATCCTTTGCCCTTCCGTCCAGCTCTCCATCTCTAGTTTCCCTTCCCATTTATGGAAGATATTTATATTTTAGGTTTTTTTTTTTTTTTTTTTCGTTTTTTTTCCAGTACCGGGAATCGAACTCACGACTGCGTTTGCCAGGTAGGCGCTGTGCTGCTGAGCTAAATCCCCAGCTCGTTTAGTTTTTCATATAAAAGAAACTATGCAATATTTGTGCTTGTGTGTCTAATTTCACTTAACGTTATGGTCTCAAGATACACCCATTTTCCTACAAATGACTCAAACAACCTTTTTATGGGAATCGGAATCTTATAGAAAATTAGACCTTCCCAATTTTGCTAAACTGTTTTCTGATGCCCTAGGGAATATTTAGTATTTCCCTAATACAATGCTTTTACAGTATTATGTATACCAAAAATACCAGGAGTGAGGTTCCTAGGCTCACAAGCCGAGGTTTAAAGACTACGACGAGTCTGAGTGCTTCTAAACGGAAACTACCCCTCATGAGTCTCCAACATCTGTTTTCCCACTGTCCGCCCGTCTCTTAGGGTTTCAGGCACCTGCTAGTGGGTCCCCATTACTTCAAGTAAATTCCATTGTTTTCTTTCTTCTCAGATCTTTGCTTCGCTAACAGGTGCACCTTCAGAGCACCCGGAACTTTGGCACAAAAAAGGCCCCCTAAAAATGTTCACCTAACAAGTCAATATGTTAACTGTACTGCTCGTACAGAAGTTTTACTTTTAAGGTTCTAGGCAGAGCGTAAACTAGGGAAGCAAAAATCATTCCCAAGAGAGGGTGAGGACGCGACCGGCTAGGCTGCGCCGAGGAAATGTCGGGGCGCCCCTTTCCACTGTCCGGGCAGCCTCGGGAGGTCCCGCACGCTCGGCGGAGGGGCGAGAGATGCTACTTTTCCCAGAGCAGCAACCATCTTGGGTGGCACACACCACTTCTCTGCGGTGTCCCTGTTTTGTCAATCCTATTCCTTTAGCAGCTCTAGCCCCTGCCGAATCTCTGAAGCGACAAGACAACTCGAAGTGGTTTCGGGGGCGGTTAAAGCCTCCTCAAAAGCCCCCCGCGCTGCCCGCCGGCCGGAGCCGCGCCGCGCCGACCTCCCCATCATGGCGGCGGCCGGGCGGGGAAGCCGAGCCGTGCGTCGCGTGCGTGCCTCCTCCCTCCCCTCCCCCTCCTCGGCGGCGGCAGAGGCGGCAGCGCTCGCCATTGCCGCTGGTGGCAGGAGGCTGCGAGGAGCCGGCGCGGTCGCAGTCTCCACGGCGCAGGCCCACGGTAGCGCAGCCGCTCTGAGGTGAGTGCCCTACCGCGCAATCTCCAGCTATTTCAGCCCCGGCGCAGCCGCAACACGCCGCCCGCCCGCCGGCCGGCCG